TGTTGCACATCAGTTACCAACAGTGTCGGGAGCATTTTTCCCTTTTAACAACAGCTTGGTTTTGAAGCAGCAGCTGGAGCTGAGAAGAGGTGGGCACAGGAGTGTGTACATGACCAAGACATGGTCTCGTGCCACCAGTGTATCAGGCATGGGTAACCTAAAGTGCAGACAAAAAACACATGGACATTAATGCAGCTGGTGTCACAGTTGCTCAACACACGCATGTCACTTTTGTTTCTTCCTCCAGGCCTATTTCATTTGTTCTCATTCAGTTGAAAAGCTGTCTTGAAGCAAGAAAGCCCAAACTAGTTTGATGCATTACCAAGCGCAGAGAAAACAATTTGCTTTATGAAACAGCAGGCTTGATTTTCTGCACAAACACATATTTTATCTTTATTGTGCCTTTCCACATGATTGCGGTGTAACTGAGAAGGTCATTAGCTGAAACGGAATATCTGTTCCTTTTAGAACTTCTTGGTATTTTGCTTTTATGTCTGAGGTTTACATTTTAAGCAAGAAAAACAAGTTATCCTGTGAATACTGCAGGTGACAAGATGGTCTGTTGTTTACTGCACCAAGCAGCCATTCAAGCATTAGGCTTAATTCTGTATTCAGCTCTCCCTTGCTGTGCGCAACTGAATAGTGCAGCAGAGCCTGTGGCTCACTTGTGCGTTTGAGATACAGGGACAACACTTCCCCACTCCACATGAGGACCAAGCCCACTTACAATCAGGGAGCATTCAGACAAAATACTGCTGAGAGGCAGGGTTGTTCTTGAACACTTTGAGGAGAGCCCTGGCTTTCATCTGGGTTGTTTTTAAGACTTATTTAAAAACGCAGAAATGTTCCAGAGTGCTTTGTTTTTAAAGGGTTTTCCTGCAGAAGATGAAGGGGATTTTTGAGCAGAGCAGTGGCTGCCCATTTCCTGGCCCAGCTGCTGAGCTGTGAATGTGGCCACCAGATTCGGTCAGATGCAGCAGAGACCACTGTTACAGGCTAGCAGACCTTGGTACAACATCCCAGTGTCTTTATCTGGACTTTAGCCATTGCTGGGGGAGCTGTGACTTGTAGTTACCTGACTGGGAACTCTTCCCAAGTCAGGATCTCGGTGTGTACCTCCAGGGCAGACTCAGGATCAATGCCTAGGGAGTAACAGGTGCTTCTGGATCTAAAGCTCATCCAATTGGTCGAAAGGTGTTTGTTTCTCAGAGCTGGTGACATGAGTTATATCATTTTGTGGGACATTACTATTAAAAAAACTCAGTGAATGACCATGTAGGAAGGGAAAGGGATAATAAAGTCAATATAAACTGTTTTCAGTCACTCACACTCATTGTCTCCTAGATTTTTTTATTCCTTCCCACGAGAGCCATTGCTGTGTGTGGCCAGCCCTCCTGCAAGGATGACTTCGGTGATATAGAAGATGAGGAAAGCCAGGTATTGAGTTCTTGTGCAGTCTCTTAGGTCTGGTGATAATGAACTGGTTTCTTGATTGAGCTTTCATAAACTTCAGAAGCTAACAGTTTCTTGGAGCCCAGCCTCTGTCTCCTGCAGCAAACAGCACCGTCCTCAGTGTTTACCCATATGATGGCTCTCCATCATGTCTTTGGTCAGCATGGAGACCTTTCTTCTCACCCTCACTCTTTTATTTCTCCTGGAGCTTTCACACATGTAGACACTTCCACTCATGCTTCATTCTGATCAGTCTTTGCATTTACCCGGCAAATAACTAAAATATCACAAGGTGGTTAAAAAAATGTAACAGACATAGTATCCCTTTGTTCAATCCCAAACACCTGGCCCTGAAAGCACATCTCAGGGTGGCTGAGAATTTCACTGGTATTTTGGTCATTTTTTCCCTTCTGTGCTGGGAAGCTGGAATGCTGGAACATCTGCACCCTCCTGAGATTGCATGCACGTGGTCTGAGTTTTTACAATGGAAACATAACGGTATGGATCTGGCAGCCTGGATCATGCATCTTGTTCAGCAGATGCCAATAATGGCTGTAGCTGTATATTAGAGATTATTAAGAAGAAGATGTAAAATAAGGCTATGAAATAACACATGTTGGCTGGTAGAAAATGTCTTCCTGATGCTCGGAAGCATGAGATTCATCATGAGAGTTACATGCTATTGCAGCTTAATATACGTATTTCAAAAGAGAAGGATTTTGGGAACCTTCATGAGACAGAGACAAAAAACATCCCAGCATCTTCGCTGGCCTACACCAATGCCAACACACTTGAGTAGTAAAGGTTGACATACACATTTCTAGTCAAGAGTACATACCTATGGTAGCTCAGATTCACTGGCCACCAAAACCTGGCTGCACAGTAAGGTTGGGATCACTGTGGTGTACCTTACCATGGTAAGGTTGGGATCACATGTATGTACCATGGAACCAGCACAGGTCAGCACGGGAACCCCACCTGCAACACCTACTTCTGTGGGGCGGAGGCAGGTGGAGAAGGACCTGCCTGTGCCCTACGAGGAGGAAACCTGACTCCTGGGAGCTGGATCCCAAACTCGCAGCAGCGCCAACACTGTAAAAAGAACATAACAGAAGAGAATGAAGACACTGTAAAAAGAACATAACAGAAGAGAATAAAGGACATAACAGTAAGAAAAAAGGAAAGGTCTGCTCCTCTGTGCCTGAGACACTGCAGAGGTAAGAAAGCTTTACTCGGAAAAGGGCGAATGGGGCTGCAAATATTGGGGATGACCAAACTGTGGGTTTAGTAGGAACCGTTAGGAGATGTACTGAAGTGTTGCATCTAAATCTCCGTCTTTTGGACATAAACATTAAGCTAGAGTGTACAGTGCCAGGGACTTACTTGAACAATGGTTCTTGTCTGCTTATGGATGAGTGAATTTTGCTCTCGCTGCCCCAGTACTCAGGAGAGAGGGGCATGCAGATGCCCACACAGATTTCTGGTGTTGTTTGAAATGCTAGAGCAGGTACCCCACCTGCTCGCCTGCTGCAATTTGAGAGCAGTGTGGGTCTCGTAGAGGTGTTATCATCTATCTTGAGGCTTCTGAGGGTATCTTGGCTTCTGTGTGGTATCAGAGGTGGCACTGCATCCTTTCAGCTTAAGCACCTAAGCCTCTCCTGAGGTGCTGCACAGCTACACCAGGATCTGGGGTTTTCTCCCCTTTTCTGGAAGAGAGGCAGCGCTTCCCAGAATAGTAGCCAGAGCAGGTGAGAGACAGTGAAATGCTCCAACACCTCTCAGAAAAATTAGCAGAGTATTCCAGCATCAGGAGGCGGGGGGCAAGAGCTCAGAGCTTGATCCTTGTCCTGGGCATGCCCCAACCTGGCCTGCCAGCCCTTTGGGCTGTGCCTGCCACAGGCTTCTTAGGACAGTGGCTGTTTAACCAAACACAGGTGTGATGTGGCAGATTAGGGCAGAATGTGTTTGCAAGTCACTAATCACAAAGGCAGAGAAAAGGAGAAAAACAAGTCCCCAGATTTTCTTATTGAAAAGCCCTTTGCTATTCAGCCACACAGTAAAGCTTTACTTCTTCTCATGGGCTCTTCCAGTCACCTTGTTTGATTGCTTTTGAGCCAATTCCACTTGAAAACAGTCCCTAGCTGGTGGCCAACATGGTCAGCTGGTGGCACTGTGTGCTGCTGGCAGCTCTTCTGCCTCTGAGGACACTGCTGAGAGACAGTTGTAAGCAAGATCCTACACATCCTCTTGGATGCTGGACTGTAATGATTTGTAACAACAAGGTCAGTGTACGTGACCCCACCGACTAATCTGCCATTAGCCCTTAATGACCTCCTTATAGCTGTACTTCAGTATAATGCTTTTAAGGTGTCCATCCTGGGAGGACTGTAATTCTGTGCTTTCTGTGTTTATGCTGCCCTCTATCTCTGCTGGGATTTTGTATCTTTCATTAGATACTCTAGGTTATTAATTTCCTTGAGCTCTCATCCTACTGCAGCTGCCCCAGCCACTGCTGGGTGTCCGTGAATGCTGCCTGGGCCGTCTGGCACCCCTGAAGGGAGGCAATCAAAGGAGAGGATGTCATCAAATTGAAGATGGGTTGAGCCCCCCACCCCAGTGCCTGAGCATGCACTCAGCAGGAAAGCAAGCGGTGTACTTAATCCCTGCCCTGGGATTAAGATGAGCTTTTCTGATCAGGAAAAGCAGCTGTGATCAGGCCAAGGGATCTAATGCTGGAAACCAGAAACACCGGTGGAGGAAGCCAGCTCTCCCCTGTTGCAATCCAGAACTCGTGGCTGTGTTTCTTGCTGAGCTGAGAGGATGGGGATTAGTGCTGCGGGGGGAGTGAGGCAGAGGATCAGGTTTGCAGGGGGAAGCACTGCACCGGCAAGGGGCAGGCTGGGTGAGGAGGAGGTCAGTGCTTGCCTCTCGCTAGCCATGCCATCCCAGGGTAGTTGGGGTTAGGGGAGCAGCCTGGACCACCCTGCTCCTTGGCAGGGCTGTTCCATCAGTGGGTGCTGCCATAAGGCTGAGCAATGACAGAGTGAAGCACCTCTACCACCCACTTGACCCCAGCTCCCAAGGGGTAGCAATTTCTGCCTCCAACAGAGACAACCTGATGCCAGTCGTGTTGTGTCTTGGCTCTTGGAGATGCAGCATCTTTTGATTGCCTCTACATCTCACTCACCTCCAGGATGGGGAAGTTGTCTCACATACTCTTGTGTTAGCGGGTCTCCAGCCTTCCCTAAGGCACTCCCTGGACTTTCCATAAAAACAGCCAGTGCAATGCAATATCTGATATCTATTAGTTCATCTAACTTGCTTTCTGATGTTCCTATGCATTTTTCACAAAAAGCACTACAGGAAGGAATGTGTCCTAATAGCTGCCTGAAACAAACCCATGTTTGAGCACATCTGAATGTTTACACTCCAGCACGGGATGCTGCTTTGCTGGCTTATTGCTCAGGTGGCTTTTTGACTGTCCAGAGTTTTCACAGGTAAATCCCAGTGTTGCCCAGCAGTGACGGTGGGTGCCAGCGGGAGCTGAGATGGCCATTGCACCAAAAGAGGCAGAAAATGCTATTGGCTTGGAGGAAATCCACAGGGAGAAGCAAGAACCCTCAAAAGGTGGGTTTGTACTGGCAAGACTAGAAATGTGGGTCTTCATTTGGCCGGGGTAGAGGGAGGGTCCCCAGTCCTCACACTCCGGCTACCTAAAACCACTGTACTTGGAGCCATGAGCATCAGCTTCACACTGCTCCTTTCCCATCACAGACTGGTGCTACTGCCTACAGAAGTGGGAAGAGCTGGGTGTCTTGGTTTTTCTCAGGCCTCCACTTTATGTAAACATTTTATTATACCAGTAATTCAAGGATTCTTTCATTTTGGAGAATTTATTTTTAAAAGAAAAATGTATTTTATGTCAAAAGTAAAATGAAAGAAAATGTAGAAAAGCATAAAAAAAAGTGCTGCATCAGAAAAAAAAGAAACAAAACAACCAAATATTTTCTCCTGAAATTCTGCAGTAAGTTCTGTTCCATTTCAGAGGTATTGTTGATGGGTTTGAGATGACTTAGTTGGGAGAAAAATGGCCTGACAGAAAAATTTATGTAGCTAAGACTTTACCTAAATAAGAACTTATAAGTATACATATACTGAAAGCTTTCTGCCAGGTCTGTTTATAAAGTAATCCCAGCCCTGTTCTGGAGATGCTTCATTTGCTCCTGAAATGGGGTGGAAAAGTCAGGAATAAAGGCTTAGGAGACGAAAGCAAGCACAGGGTCTCTGGTTGTGCTTGTTTTGCAGGGCTCAGACATGGGGCAGCCCCCAGCTCACACGACCCATGCTTGGAGCGGTCCCATACCCCGAGGGTGCAAGAGAGCTGACACTCATGGCAATTCGGGCAGAAGGCAGTAGACCATTGCCCAGATACAATACCAGCCATGGGTTTCTGAAGCAATTTGGGTAACTCAGTACAAGGCTGTCCTTCCTCCATGCTTTCCCTGTCCCCAGCTAGCTGCTGTTTCAGCAACCCCTGATGTGCCTGGCCACCAGCATGCCCAGGGGCTCATCAGTGGACGCAGCACCCCAGTAGAGGTATCCACCTTTTTCCTGGTGAGGTCCCACAGTAGCATGAAAAACGTTCACATTTCTTAAAGAGGAGGTACAATTTGGTTGCTGATGTGTTTTTTTATCTCTGCCTTTCTTTACCTTTGGTGTTCAGGGCCGAAGACTTTTACAGTAGAAGAAGCTGTGGAAACCATTGGGTTCGGGAGGTTCCACATCGTGCTTTTCCTGATCATGGGCAGCACTGGGGTAGGTGTCTGCAGCCATCTGCACTGGCCCACAAAAGTGCTCTTCTCATTTTCCTTATTACTGTGCAATAACAACCATCAACATCACAGGTATAAAATGCATCCCGTTTTTTTTCACACTTACCTTCTCAAGTAGGATTTCTGCTGTTGTCATCTTTGGCCAAAATCAATACTGGCTAAAACTGATATCAGACCTATTTCAGGGCAAAGCTGAGCAGGTTGGCCCAGGGCATCCTGGCCTGGGCCCTGGCCTGGTGCACTGTCAGGGCACATCTTCAATAGTGCCTGAGGGTTACATTCAGTCTCTCGACTGCATTTTTTCATGCCATCTCCAGGGTGCCCAAACCCTGTGCAGTCTGGGACTGGAGGGCTGTCCTCCTGTCACCCGTGGCTACCTGAAAAAATTCCTAACTGCTAGAGTCTTGAGTTAATGGTATATCTGGTCTGGGAACTGGGGCAAAAGCCCGAGGACAGGCTGGGGTAATACACTGCAGCTGAGGTGTAAAAGCCTCTAGCTATGTGTAAAAGATAGGCTCGTTTCTTAACTGAAGACAGCTGCTGGGGCAAACAGCCAATGGAGTAATGAAGTTTTTAATCAAAAACAGTTTTAAGAGGTCATCTTTGTGTCAGATGCCCAAATTCACAGCTGGGTACCTAACCAAGCAGCTTGGTTTCCCAAGATAGTTGAGTTCCACTAGCACAGCTGGGTAAGAGTCTCCTCTGCAAAGGATGAGTCTTTCCCACCTTCCTAGACGTACAGCGTCCCTAGATACTCACTTTCTAGCTACACTTTTCTCCCTTCCTCTCCTAGTTTCCAAGTCAGGCACAGGGCTCAGACCAAAATGAAAGCACCCTGACTTCACAGGGCTGTTTAGACATGGTGGGATTGCCACGGCTCCAGGCGTGCTAGGATTGAGGGACTTTGCCCAGTGGGCTGCTTGTGACTTCCATTCTTGCTAATGTGTAAATTCATTCCCGAAGGTGGCTGAAGCCATGGAAATCATGCTAATAGCTGTTGTGTCCCCTCTCATCCGATGTGAGTGGCAGCTTCAAGACTGGCAGGTGGCTTTGGTGACAACGGTGAGTGACTTACGTTCCCCACATGCAGGTCATCCACTACGTAGGCATTGTCCAGGAAGCCCACCACAGGCTTTGTAAAGTACATTTCCCAGTGGACCAAGTAAATTCCTAGGGCCTCCTCTCAGAGACAAGAACAGTACCATAACTGTAGCAAACTGAGGAGAGCACACGTCTGCGCCCAGAGCTATAATGCCAAAACAAGTCCCCACTGCCAGATTCTTATTTTGAAGCCCTTGCCATCCAACCCTCAGCTTTGAGGGTTGAAGCAGTGAGTGTCTACATGGTGGAAGTCAACTCCTGAAGGCCACCTTGCCCATGGTTCTGGGCACTGCATTTCATCTTGCTGCTTGGAAAACATTCAATTCACTCACAGTTCAAAGAGCAGAGCTTCCCAGTGCTGCAGGGAGTGGGCCCTACACAGCTGTATTTCATTTCCCCTCAGATGGTGTTTTTTGGCTACATGGTCTTCAGCATAGTGCTCGGGCTCCTGGCTGACAGGTATGGCCGCTGGAAGGTGAGTGAGCTCTGGGGGTTGCATGTCCTTTTCCCCAGCCCCATAGAAATCGTGCACATGGCTGGACCCATGGTTTGATGACCCTAGTTTTGCCCTTTTTACAGATTCTGCTGCTCTCGTTCCTTTGGGCAGCCTATTTCTCCCTGCTGACCTCGTTTGCCCCATCCTACATCTGGTTCGTGTTCCTGCGGGCCATGGTAGGAGGTGGCGTGTCGGGCCACGCGCAAGGGTAAGGCTGTGCTTCGCTCCTCGTGGCACGGGCAGCGGCAGGCCAGCCTTCAGGAGAGGGTTAGCAGAGGCACCCTCCGACCCGAGGGGGCTGAGTTCCTGGGTTTGCAGGGAGAAAGGACCTCCAGCTCATTTTGGCTTGACCCTGGCGGAGTGCCCGGTTTCCCTCCCACTGGGCCTGATCAGCCACGGCGACCGGGAGGAGACGGCGGGGAAGGGGCCTCCACGGGGTCTGGAAGGGGAAAAGGGGAGCGAATTCCCACACCACCTTAAAACAAAACGCCGTCCTGTAATTTCACTGAATCCTGGTCAATCGACTTAAATTGCAGTTCCCAAGGAGTGCTGAGCCCGGGAATAGAGAGGGCAGATGGTTTACATTAAGCCAGTGACAGAGGGATTATTAAGCACATATATTATAAAAACAATTAGACAGGTAACAGATGAGCAATGGCTGCTTCCTCATAAAAAAGTCACAACAGTTCTGCTTAAGTAGCAAATTCTTCTTGAACTGATGTAAAATGTTCCCACTTAAATGAAACTTTCTGCCCTGTTGGGGTGGAAAGGGGAATGTGAAGGGGGAGAGGAGAAATTCACAATATTAACAACCACTTCACTAGGAGCCTGGCAAATTAAATGATTTCTTTTGACTCTCCCTGGGAATCAAATGCAATGATCCAGCATCTTCTATGGATCCTTGAAGCCTGGTTGCTGCCCACACAGGAAAGCTCAAAACTGGTTGCATTGACCCAAGAGCCCCTTGCCAAAGCTAAGGACAGGATGGGTATCGATGTTGTTGGGAGGAGAAGGCACTGTGCGCCTGGGTCACACAGCCATTGATCTCCTGGGACTGCCTCCCTTGCAGGAGGACCCCCGTTCCCTGGCCATGGAGGCTACTAGTTGCCCTGATGAGGATGGAGGAAAATTGCGTATTTTATAAAACACTTCAATAGCTGAGATAGAAGGAATTAATGTGGGTCTCTCCTTACCCCTGTCTCTTTCCAGCCAAGGAAGCACAATTCACACCTGTGAGCTTGAGAGACATCAGTGCCAGGCCCTCCCCCAGGGATAGAAGGTGGAATGGATTGTTTTCTTTATGTAATGAAAAACAGATTCACTAAAAATTGTCCACTTCTGTGAACATACTGTGCCTGTGCTGATACCACCATCACCCCACAGGAGCTTCCTGTAGGATTATCTGACGCACAGACTACGGTGCTAACCTGCCTGTATCCTACAGCCATGGCCTGGACGGGTTTCATGCTGTCCCTCTCCCTTACATGTATTGTGGTTCCTGCCTGAGTGAAAGTCGTATTGAGCAGGGATCCCCCTGTCTCTGGGTTCTCAGTGCTGGAAGAGGGATGGGCAGCAAAGTCCAGCATGGACTGAGCTGAGCTGCTACTTGATTAGTACAGAAATTCTCTTTGTTACAGTATTTCTGCTTTTTTCCCCCCCTTTTTTGCTAGGCTTATCATAAAAACGGAATTTTTGCCTACCAAATACCGAGGATACATGTTGCCCTTATCTCAGGTAAGAGTAAGCATGTTACTGTAGTTTTTCTAGCCCAGTTTTTCTAGTCCCAGGAGATTTGTCCTGCTGCCATTTGGAAGCAGAGTCTCCAGCACGTCAACCTTTCTCCCAGAGCACTCACACTTGTCTTGGTCTGACCAAATGCCTACTGCCTCCTGCGCCCTGGAGTGTGGTGTATGTGTTTTTAAAGATGGACACAGACAGCTGCCTGCAGAAAAGAAGGAATTTCTCCTCAAATAAGGTCCTAATCCGTGCATCTCACTGTCCCTGCTCAGGGCTTTGTGTGGGGAAGGGATAGAATAGCTAGTCCCAAATTTGTGACCTCTTGCTGGGCAAAGACCACAGCAAGCGTGACTGGGGTTGTTGCTGACTCCAGATTTCTGCAGTGGGCACTTGCTGCATGTGCAAATGATCTGTGGAGGCCTCATCGAGCACATAAATTCATCTGACTGTTGAACCAAAAGTGTTTGTATATGGTCTTGGTGGCAGGGATAATTTGCTTTTCATTACTGCCTGTTTGATCCCAGGGCTTCATTACCAAAGCGTCACCAGAAACACAAAGGTTTATAAAAAAGAACACTCTTGTGTTTCTCCCCAGAAATTTGTTATTTCTGCCCACAGATTACTCATGAACTTGCTGTGGCTTTTATGTATTTGTTTGTGCTTTGTGTTGGCTGAGTTCCCTTGGGTGGTCCCCTGGAAAGGGACGCATCTCCTCATGGCAAAAAGTGAACTTTGGGGAAGGAATGTATTGCAGATTGGGGGCCAGATTCTCCGTTGGTATAACTTGGCATTGAGTCCACTGGAGACCCACCAACTTCCAGCAGTGAAAATCTGGCTTGTTTTTGCTCTCAGTGCTTGTAAATCTGCTGCTTCCCAGCAGATATTTAGACAAGAGGAAAATTCAGGCACATGAGCATTAGCAGAGAAGTGACTGGGAGGACAAAAGAAGTAGCTTTAGGTACAATGGTAGCCACAGCTAGTTATCTGTTTTAATCTGGAGCTAATTAAGACTATCTTCAGCTGTCCCTCCCCAAATCCTTCCCTTTCTTTCCCTCTTTCCTTCAACCCAAGCTCAGCTTCTCAGACAGCTGCAGGACGGCTCGGTTTGAATTGCAGTGCTCCCCAGCACAGATCCCCACCTATCTGTGGAACCAGACCAGGAGGGAAGAAAATAGACAAGTCATGGCTATGGATTCATGTTTTAACCTCTTCTTTTCCCTTGGAAAGGTGTTTTGGTTGGCAGGATCCTTGTTAATCATTGGCCTGGCATCAGTGGTGAACCCAACCATTGGCTGGAGGTGGCTGATCAGAATCGCCTCCATCCCTGGCATCCTTCTCATCCTGGTGTTCAAGGTAGGAAGAGCTCCTTTCCCTGCCACACTGCCACTGACCTGGCATCTCCCCAGGCACCAACAGGCATTGCCCTCCAACCCCTGCAAGCCTGGGGCTGTCCCTGCGTCCTCTTTCCACCACCACAGCCCTCTCACCCAGGGTGCTTGGGAAGGTCCTGATGGCTTGGGGGTGGAGGGCTGCAGACCAGCTGCTGGGGAGGTGTCACCCTGAGGGTGATAGCTTGGCTTTGCCTTGCTTTGAAAAGCCTCTGGCTTTGCTGCTGTGCTGCAGCCCTCCAGCACTTTGGTCTCCAGTGTCTAGGCTGCCAGCAGTATCCAGGGACTACGGTGGTGGGCCAGGCATCAAAAGGAAAACAGGCTAGACAGGATGGACATAAAAATTCACAAGTCTTATCTTCAGTCCAGTGCTCACCACAGCTCACCCTCTTCAGTCTTTACACTTGCCAGGGCTGAGGAAAGAAGCCGCAGTAAAGGGTTCACAGAGTAAATGGGTGTCAGGGTCAACCACAGCTTCCTCAGGTTTACTCATACTTCAGAAATATCAGCCTTGGACGTGAGGACCATCTTATTTGTGGGGACTGACATGGAAGCTCCCTACTGTAGTGCTGAGCTGTGGCTGGTGCAAATTGTGCTGATGTGAAATCCCTTCTTGCAGCTGAACAAATGCACAAGTCCACCTGGGGTGCTACCTGGGCAGGCAAATGCAAGGTCGCTGTGAATGTCCACTTGTATGACTGTCATTGGGATCCCTGATTATTTTGCCAGAAAAAACATGGGTAGCAAGGGCTTTTAGTCCAGAAATAAGAAAAGACACAGTCAGCATACTTACCTTAAAAAAGGAATCTTTAATTCATATTTCAGTGACATACATTTAATTGTTTACAATTTAATAGAGACATAATTTAGTGAAAAGGTACTTAATTTTGGAAAGACCACCAGGTGTGGGTGAATGTTGCAAATGCTAGTGATGAGTGAGTTTGTTCCTAAATTTCATCCATGTCTTCCTATTTTTAATGGCCTTGTTGAGTCTTCCAAGACTTTTGCTCAAGGGACATTTGCCTCATCCCGTTTTAGAATTTCGATTAATTGAGGGTTGTTTTTGTTAAACCTGTATCTTTGGCTTCTACCTCTCACAAGTGCTTGCCAGTAGCAAGCTCAGTAGCAAACTCCTGGGAGCTAGACCAAGAAATGGGTTTGTCAGGCAGGGTGATCCCCCCAACATAGGCTATGGGGAGCTGGGACACGCAGGGGCACCCCAGGGGATGGCTGGGGAGGAGGACAGACAAAAGGCTGCTCCAGCTTAGGCAATGCCCTGTGCTAACCTGGTTGGGCTGGGGATGACAGGAAGCTGTGAGTAGGGTTGTGTGGACAGAGAGGTGCAGGAAGGCTTTCTGACCCCCCTCTGCTTTCAGTTCATCCCGGAGTCTGCACGGTACAACATCTCCACAGGAAACGTGGCGGCTGCCATGGCCACGCTGAGGAGGATAGCCAAGATGAACGGGGCAGCGATGCCCGAGGGGGTGCTGAGGGAGCCCACCAAGGTAAGCCGAGCCCGTGGTGCTGCCCGGGCCCTATGTCCCAGGCAGGGCTGCCAACATCTGGGCTTCAGGGTGGGAGCGGGGCTGCCAAGCACGTCTCTCTCTGCCTCAATCCCCCTCCTCGCCTGGTTTCTTTCCAGACAACTATTGAATATGATGATGAAGATGTCATTTTTCTTTTGGAGACAATAATCTTGGATAATAATCAAAATGGAATTAAGTTTTTTTTTTGTTTTTTTTTTTCTTTCATTGTGTTCAGAAAAATATCATACTGAGAAAAGATTTGCTTCCTTTACCACAAAAATGGCTCCCGGAAAAGTACATTCTTCCTTATTGCCCATCCGTCCCTCAGGGTGTCCCCTGTGCTGTGAGACCTGGGACCTGCCCCTTGGGGTCCCTCTCAAGACTACGGCTGCTCAGGTTGCAAGGGTCCCTGCCATGAGGTCACCTCACCACTCTCAGAGGCTTCTCCCAGCCCTTGGATGAACTTGTCCACTGGGTCCCAGTAGCCCGGGTCCCTGACTGTGGAGCCACAGACCAGTGGATGAGGGTCAAAGCAGGAGAGGCCATTTCAGAGCTACCACCGTTTGCACTTGCAAGCAGCTGAGCAGCTCAGGAGTTGAACACTACTGGACCAAAAAGCCCAAAAGCATGTGTGGGTGTTGGAGGTGGGGCAGGAGAGGAGTTGGGGGCCAGGTGCCCCCCAGGCTGTTCCCCCTTATCCCCTGTCTGGGCTCTGCTGACTGCAGGGTGGGAGGACTTATTCAGGTGACTCCTTTAACCCCCAAGAGATAAAGACTGGGCAAAACTATTGTCTAGAGCCTCAGAATTATTTTTCAGCTCTTTTAAGTCCCTTTCCTGGACCTCTTTGCTACTTACTCAATCCCACAGGCACCAAACATTGTCCTCAGCAATTCATGCAAGATGGTGCCATTGTATTGGAATTAATTAGGATTAAAGCTTCCCTGTAGTTTAATTCAATTTATGTAATGGACCCACATTGGCTGTGGGAAGGGCTTTTGTTAGTTGTACACCCTCTCAGGCTTAACCAATGATGAGGAAAACGAAAATAAAGCCAACCCAAACCACCCCTGTGAACTGGTCTCCCCTCGGTGGTGGGATGCTGGGGCAGCTGCCGGTTCATGGGGTGCAGCAGGGCTGGCAGAACCCCCCAGTGCCTGCTTGTCTCTTTGCTTACTGGCATTACAGGCCTCCCAGCAAGATGTACATGGCCACAAACTTGCTCCACCAGCAGAGCAGCAGATGCTGGGCCTCTCTCCCCAGCACACGGGGCAAAAGGAGCTGCCAGCAGCCTGGCAGTGCTGGCCCCCAGCAGCAACCATGTGCCCCTCCAGCACTGTGATGGTCGTGCTGGGGCCAGACTGCTGGGGACTGGGGAGGGGGGGGCCCGTGGGGGTCGGGAGTGCTCAGGGTGTTCTCTTTTCCTCCCCTCCACCCTTTGCAGCTCATCCTCCTGTGGGCATCCTTTGGGAAGAGGGGCTTTCTTCTCCAGAGGGCTGATGGGGTGCTATGTTGCACCATTTGTCAGTCTGTCTGTGCCATCAGCAGCCTGGGGTGGGGGCACGGGGGGCCTGGGGTGGCAGCTGTTGTTGCAGAACACTCATCTGTGTATAAAAGATGCCTTTTTAAAAACTATTTCTCTCAAACAATTTGCAGGAAAGAAGAGGAAGATTCAAGGACCTCATGCACCCCAAGTACCTCAGAACCACTTTGCAAATATGGATCATATGGTAAAAAAAACTATTATTTTTTTTCCTCTCTTGTGTGTCAGCTCATTCTCTCAGTCAAATACGTGCAGGGAGCAGAAGCCTCCCATTGACTCTGCCATTACAAGGCACCTCTTCTGGCTCAGGAGGCGGCTGCAGAACCTTGGCAACTGGAGGGGGGGAATATGTGGGTGTGGGTCACCACAGGCTTGTCCTGATCTCAGCCTGTGCCTCAGACACCCGGTCTTGGTTGGTGCTAACATAGGCAGAAAAAGGCTGGACATCCAGGATGGTACAGGGCACCATGAGACCTTCCTCAAGACAGGGTGGCGCAGGGGAGGTGGGGTGAGAGCCAGGCAAGAGCTGCAGGACCGAACCCAGGTCCAGCGTGCCCCAGCCATGTGCCTTCCCTTCTTGGTGTAAACTTGTTCTTTGCAAGAGAAGGACAAAGGCAGCATCTTTGCAGGCCACTCATTGTATCAGTGAAATAGGGCTCCAGCAGAAACTCATTAACCGTTACCAGTGCCACTGGCTGGGGAAAATTAAGATTGAAGAGAGATGGGTTTCATATGCAATGTTCCTGGTAGCTGTATGCAAGGGTAATGCATGTTTCATTGACTTTGCTGTCTGGAATGGAAATGTATAAATAATGGGTCCGTGGGAACTCATTGACCCAAAGTGTTGCTAAGTCAGGCCTTGAATTTTTTATGTTTTTTCCCTCTCAACTTGCATGAATGTTACAAAATGTTGCTCTTTCTGTTTTTTAAGTCCTCCTTTCTCTCCTAGTCCCCCTCGGCCCTGGATCGCTGGGGTGTTCTTGGGTTTACATTCCCACACCCACCCCGCCATGTCCTGAGCATCCCCCCTCTCCCCAGGCAGCTCGTTTCCTAGCTTAGATTCTGCTGCTTGTTTCTGAAACTGCCAGGGGGTGGATAAAAAAGTGAAAATTACTTCCCAGCCTGCTTATGATTAGGCGTATGCTGAATTAGTTGATAATGACACAGCCAGGCTGCCATCACCAATGCTGTGCTCTTGACAGCCAGCCAGGGTGCAATGTGAGCCTCTCCAGCCAGTTAATGAAAACTCCTTTCGAAAATCCCTGGGCAGAAAGGATAAGGACTTAAAAAACAAAAAAAACCAACCTGGACAGTTTCTTCATGTGAGCTGATGTTGAGACTCCCACCCCTGGACAGGGAATGGTTTGGAACTCTCTCCAGTTACAGCCCTGCATGAGGAAAGGGACCAAAGGGGCATGCTCTGCCCAGCGTGACAGCGGCAGGTCACCTGCTGCAGATCAAGAAACAGCACTAAGGGACAAGCAAAAAGGTGTGCTACGAGCTGGGGTGGGGTCCTCTGAGGAAGAGAGGTGCATGGAAATAGGTGGTAGTGGTGTGATCGGTGACCTGGTGGGTGCCCGAGTCACTACTGGGTTAAGGAGATCTATCACACAGAGCAGGTGTACACAGTAGGGGTCCCAGGGCACCCAAAACCTGCTGCCCTTCAGTTTCCTCACCTTCCCTGTTGTGTTGACCACTCACTGCAGTGTTTTCCCCTCCAGGCTCGGCATAGCTTTCGCTTATTACGGCGTCATCTTGGCCAGCGCTGAGTTGCTGGAGCGGGACCTCGTCTGTGGCTCTGCGGCACCACCCATGCAGGACCCTGATGATGACTCCAAGGAGAACCACAGCCCCTGCCACTGCCGCTTGTTCGGACCCGCTGCCTACCACACCATGATCATCAGCACCGTCGGAGAGATCGCACGTAACCCCTTCTCCCCTCCCTGCCCGTCCCTGTTCACAGCCAGCCAATGCTCCCTGCAAAGCTTTTAGCTGTGCATGCACTTGGTGACGTGCCAGAGGTCAAAATGTCCCCAGCAATGCTGGCAAGTGCCAAGCTCAAGCTCTTCAAACGGAAGGTCTGGGGCACAGGCCATGGGCTGGTGGCAAAGGGCATGGGAGGGCATTGCTCCCCAGGTGAATAATTCAGCTTCTGATGGCAGCACGGGTCATTCCAATAGCAGAGCCAAAGGCCTCCTTTGCAGTTAGTACATACTGACAGCCTTGGTTGGATTCCAGGGAAAAATTGCTCTTAACTTACCAGAACCAAGCTTGTCTTCCCAAATTCCCAGACCTGTACTTTTGGAAAGCCATAAATAATCAAGGATTGCAAGTAGTCACATTGATGTAACTGAATGCACCACACAAGTGCCCTACTTTCCAAGGGATGGTGGACTCAGGAGCAGGTCCTGTGCTGAGTGCTGCAGTAAAGGACAGATAAGTGCCCAGGGCATCTGCAGCAAACCAAAATGCTCCCTGGTGCAGCCAGTTGGGAAGCAGTGGGGAGTGGCAGGATGGCCCAAAGGCACCCACATAGGACCCTTGAGAGAACGAGGTGTTTTTGAGGCACACTGCATAAGGTCTATCAAGCCAGACAACCATTGCAGTTAGGTCATCTAACATTTTATGGTTTTCCCTTTTGTTTCCAGTAAATCCTCTGAACATTCTCGGCATCAATTTCCTCGGGAGACGGCTGAGCCTGTGTATCACCATGGGATGTACGGCGCTATTCTTTCTGCTCCTTAATGTCTGCACATCAAGGTACTCTGTCTCAGCACGGGGGTGGTGTTGGTGGAGGGGGTGCAGGTACTGAGGTGCAGGTACAGCAGGTGCTGAGGGCAGTACCTGTGTTATTCTCAATTGGTCCAGGTCTCAATTCTTCAGGCCAGTAAGTCTTACACACCTGAAATCCCCTCTGACCAGTTCCCTGCACTTCCTGAGAAAGCTGTGGCAGCAGATGATGCTGTGGTGGAGGGGTGTGCAGAGCAACTCACCCCCATAGCTTCCCCTAAGCACACAAGCAGCTGCTTCCTAGTGCAGTTTGGAAAGTTAAAAGTGACGTGAAGAACACGCACTATAAAGAAGTCATATTTTTCTTTCAGTCTCTTTTTCCTTCCCTTTCTTTCATTTTTGGCAGTTACATATGTCTCTTCTAACTTGTAGAGTTGGGCTCCCCTAACTTGTAGAGCTTCAAGGGGAAGGCTGTCATTAGTGCTGCAATTATCAGTTTGATTTTTGAGGGTGTGCCAGAAAGACCCCTCTCAAGCTTGCAGAGCTTAATGGTTACTGAAAATCAGGATGGCTTCTAGATGAAGTTTCCTCTGAAGTGGCTGGTAGCCTGCCCTGCTGCCTGCCTCATGGGCCACTGGCCCTGGAGGCCAGCTGAAATACTTGGGAGCTGGACTGGGACACTGCAAATAGTTGTTAAACTAAATGACCCCCTGTTAGGAAGCTGACAGTCATTCACTAAGGCATTGGCCTCTCTGCTGCTATTATTGTTATTTTTAGTTTTCCATGAAACTGAGCCTGCCCATCATATTTGTTTGCAACAGTTTTGCAGAGGAATGAAAAACAAGGGCTGGGCTAGAAGACTTGGCCATAATGCTTGAAGGCACCAGCTGAACTACTATGAACTACTATGGTCCCTCCAGCCTCTAACACTGGAAACCTAACATGCAATAGCCTGTTGTCAAACATGCCTAAAGAAAGATTATACTTGTCAGAAATCAACTTTTCCTTACCCTTTCCTTCATATCAAGCTGGTAAAAGCCTTAGCACAGTGCCTCTATTGGGCTGCATCTCTGCTGATCACCATTCAGTGATACTAACTCGTTGCTCCACACGGTTTTTCTCTCCAGCACAGGCATGACTGGGTTCCTCTTCATGCTCCGTGCCTTGGTTTCAGCGAACTTCAACACCATCTACATTTACACAGCAGAGGTGGGTCCTCCTGAAAGTAAGTTAAGCTACTCTGGGGCATGAAAGACCACTTGCCTGCACCCAGGAATGCTGCCATATTTATTGACTAGTTAGAGTCACCTTCCTTGAACTAAGTATCTCTGGCCTCCTGGCCACACTGTTTTCATATGCGAGGTCAGGAAAGGAATCAGAAAACTAGTTGGAGATGGCAAAAGCAGGTGGAAAAAGAGTGCCCTACTGAGGCACCTGTTGGTCAGCTACTACAAAATGTTATCTTTGACTGTGTTGTGTACCACCCTACTCCAAACCCCACAATCTTTTCCCTCCCCAGCCCCTGCAGTTAGAAAATAGGCTACCACTGAAAGGAACCTCTTCCAGCACTTACAGCACTGATGTAGTAGTATGAGGTAGTATCTGAGGGTATATATCTGTTTTTTCTTACTTAATGGAAATTGCTGTGTTGTGCCTGCAAATAGTTTTAATTCTTCAGAGAGCTTGTCTTTCAGACAATTTTGGAGCCATGAATTCCATGGGCTAAGTATGCATTGACGGGTTTTTTTGTTGTTCTCTTTTAAACACTTCTGTGGAGTTAAATGTATTGCTTTACAGATTAAGTAAAATGATAAAAAGTAAGCAGAAGTAGCTCCCTGCATTGGCCTGATGCTATAGTGTATAGAAGTATTTAAGTACCAGGCTTTAGTCCTGAACTGGATACTGTTGATGTAAAGACCGTTGCTGCAACAGCCGTATCATAAACCAGTATTATTCACAATTTAATCAATGCTCAAAACCAAACCTGGAAATCCTCTTCCCAACCACATGTGGAGTGCGGACTCTGCTTGAATTGCCTTCAGTGGCTTTGCACAGTGAAGTATTCAAACAAAGGCTTATGTGAGTATACGTGCTGAAATCTATTGACATTAACAGGACTTAACTAAAGTTAAACAAAACACGTTTAAGTGTTTTATTAGCACAGGTGTTTGGGAGATGTAAAAAAGAAAATACACAAACCACATTATTCCAAGCCTGGAGGCTTCTTATTTGGATCTGTTTTTCCTCCTTCTAAACAGAAGTGCTGTTGATAAAAACAAATAGGCAGTCTTGAAGGCTGCAGACAATATCCTTTCTTCCTGCTTTCCAGATACAGGGCCTGACAACATAAATTGAATTCCTCCTTTAGCACCCAACTGGTCCTCTGTGACTTTGATGTGAGCTGCCCAGCACAGCTGGGAGAAGGGGCAGGGAGCAAACAGCAGGAGGATCACATCCAGCGTTGATTGACGTGCCCTACAACTCTACTTGAGGCCAAAAAAAAAAAAAAAAGGAAAATTTGAAAGGCCAAAAAAACAAGACTCAAAGCAGCCTTTATTTTTTTTCATATCTTAGCCCACTAGCTGCCCTTGATAATGTAATGGGTCCCTCTGAAGAAAAACTTGGGAAAAGGAAAAATAGGGACACATATCACAGATCATTGTTGCACTAATTGGATTTCTTTCTTTCCTGTTTCAGGTTTATCCCACCACGATGCGAGCCCTGGGGATGGGAACCAGTGGGTCCTTGTGCCGTGTCGGAGCTATGGTGGCCCCATTTATATCACAAGTAAGAGCAGGCTTGATAATGTTGGTAAACATTGTGCCAATCATTGCTATTATATAGGCAGAGATGCCCCTCAAGTTCACAACAAAACAAATGACCAAAAAAAGATGTATTCCATTCTGCCCTTCGGCTCTTTAGCTGGTGTTTATACAGAGTACTTATGTGGTCTTTGCCAGATGCAGGTGTGCAAAAATCTCTTCCTAGAGCTACCCTAATTGAGGCAAAAAAAAAAAAAAAAAAGGCAGATTTGTAATGGCACAAACAAGACTCAAAGCAGCCTTTATTTTTTTTCATATCTTAGCCCACTAGCTGCCCTTGATAATGTAATGGGTCCCTCTGAAGAAAAACTTGGGAAAAGGAAAAATAGGGACACATATCACAGATCATTGTTGCACTAATTGGATTTCTTTCTTTCCTGTTTCAGGTTTATCCCACCACGATGCGAGCCCTGGGGATGGGAACCAGTGGGTCCTTGTGCCGTGTCGGAGCTATGGTGGCCCCATTTATATCACAAGTAAGAGCAGGCTTGATAATGTTGGTAAACATTGTGCCAATCATTGCTATTATATAGGCAGAGATGCCCCTCAAGTTCACAACAAAACAAATGACCAAAAAAAGATGTATTCCATTCTGCCCTTCGGCTCTTTAGCTGGTGTTTATACGGAGTACTTATGTGGTCTTTGCCAGATGCAGGTGTGCAAAAATCTCTTCCTAGAGCTCAGCTGGCTTGTATTTACTTTCAAGACATTGTTTCTCTATCGCCAAGTCTCCCAGGTGTTTGTGACCTTTTGCCCACTCTTTAATTCCTAATTAACTGCCAGCCCCCCATACCACTGAGCTGATGTTTGGATTGTTCTTCTGCCTGCAGGTTCTTATGAGCGCTTCCTTCATTGGGGCCCTGTGTCTTTTTGCATCTGTGTGCATCGTGTGTGCAATCTCAGCCTTCACACTGCCCATCGAGACCAAGGGCAGGGCTCTGCAGGTTAGTATTGCCAGACCTCCTATGTATCTACATGCTATTGAGAGACCAGTAGATGATTCAGGCAGAAATCAAACCAAATTCTTCTGAGATCGTAAGGCGAAATAAGGCCTGAGGCAAGCAGCTTCAAGCACTGTCACCCCAGCTGCCTAAAGCTCGTTTCTCATAAAGGAAAATGCCAGAAGTGCTGTAGGGAGAGAGGACAGCAGATGACAAGTAACACCTTAAACGACTAAAGTCTTCATCAAATTCAATTCAAACGCCCCAACAGCATTAGTGCGCTAGCTAAGCAGTTGTGGCTAGTGCTTCCTAAAAAGCAATTAGCCAAAACGTTAAGGGAGGGAGGTTTAAATTCAGGCAGCCTCCCATGCAGAAGTCGCACTAGTTTAATTACAGGCAGTGGTGAGCAGTTCTGGCAGCTGTTGATTCAGTTATACCAGCATGGAAATTCTCATCACGGCATGCTTGCTGCTGCCACATCACACTGCCTGTTATTCTGCAGTCTTACCTGCGTAAACCAAAAGCCCATGGACTAAATAATCCACATTCTTCAGCAGCCTAGAGCAAGACAGATGTTTGATCAAAATGTTTTATGTGAGCTTCAGAACCAGACTTTAAAAAAACCCCATATATACAAACGCACACATATGATATATATACACACACTTAACTTCATTGGGTCACATTTTCTAAGGTTTCCCCAAGGTGTACAGGACAGTTAATCTTAGGGTTTTCAGTAAAGCAACGTATGAAGCGTTGCCTGCTTCTTGAAATGCTTGTCTTTTAGAAATGCTTGTCTTTTATGTAATTAAAAATATCTATATGATATTTCACAAAAGACTGTGGAAAAAATAATCAAAATGTAAGTAAGTAAGAGGTCAAAGCAACTTATTCTTCCCTTGGGGTGAAATTCAACCCCATGCACAAAGGCCAGAGAGCCATTTAGGCCTTCAAATGGTTGGATTTACAATAATTACTAAGCAAAACATTTCATTAAAACTGCTTTAGACATAAAAGGAAAGCTTTGATTCAGCTACAGTTGGATTAACTTTGGCTAGCAGCGGTCAAGATAAATGGGAGCGTAATGATTCCTTAATAGTATTCCCCTTTTTCCTGGGGACTTAACTCAATAGCATTATTATCCTTATTGCTACAAGTAAGAGTTATAAGCTCCAGTTTCTGACCTTTACATGCAGAAGTCAAAAGGATGGAAAAAAAAAAAATGTGCAGAAGTAGTTGTGTAATCGGTGAAGCCACCATTAGATCTTAAATTCAGCTTGCCAACTCTTATGTCATGGTCATTTCAGAGATTACATTTGTGTAGGTCATCACTCCGGGATCGCTGCATCATGACTGTTGAACATACTGTCCAAGGGCCTCACACAGTACAGTCATCCAATCCATACAAGAATTTAAACACATAACGTAAAAACTCTTTTAACATGGAAGTCAAAAGGATGGAAAAAAAAAAAATGTGCAGAAGTAGTTGTGTAATCGGTGAAGCCACCATTAGATCTTAAATTCAGCTTGCCAACTCTTATGTCATGGTCATTTCAGAGATTACATTTGTGTAGGTCATCACTCCGGGATCGCTGCATCATGACTGTTGAACATACTGTCCAAGGGCCTCACACAGTACAGTCATCCAATCCATACAAGAATTTAAACACATAATGTAAAAACTCTTTTAACATGGCAGTATCTAGTTCTAAGGCTCCAGGCAATAGATACACTCCTTAAAGCTAAGTCTAAATGAACCAACTAAAATAGAAATATGTAAGTAGACTTTTGTGAAATCTAGACAGTGACATTTAAAAAGGTGTATCTACTCTTGCTCCAGTTTACTAGGACAGCATCAGTCCTCTTTCAAAGCAGTCACAGGGACTGCCTATCAGAGGCGAGACCTTTTGTACATACCCAAATCCCTATTATTTTCCCCTGTATCCATTTCTGTTGGTTTTCATGTGCATTTTATTAATTTTATGTATTTTTTTTCTTTTCCCTTTTTAGCAAGTAAAATGAAAGCGAGTGTTTGATGTTGGATTGGGTAGGAAAGAAAAATAAACCTTTGGAATCTGTCATTTCCTGTGAGCTGCATTTGATGTTGATTGCTTCTCCATACCATTGCCATTATTAAAAATTGTAACTGAACAGCGTAGGAACTATGATTTATATAGACTAATGGCAAATTTATCAAGGACATTTTCTTTCTTTTGATTCAATAAATAGATACTTTCTACCTGTTCCATGAAGTGAGATGAAGACTCTCTGCTACTGGTGCTGTTAGTGACATTACATGAACAAACACAGAAGAAAAAGAAAAAAAAAAGGGGGAAAACAGCCATCATTCAGTGGATTGAGGCCAAGGTGAGGAAATAAATACATAAAGTAGATACGGTCTTTGCCATAGCAGCTTGAAAGAATATAGTGCTTTCCTTTAAAGACAATTTCTGAGGATTCTTAGGGTGACATTCAAGACCACAAAATGAAAGCTCAGTCAGATTTTTCCAGTGGGTTATTTAAACAGAGACATTTTCAAACAGTTTACAGCAGACAAATAAGTAACTGGACTGCAGAAGTATATCTATGCTCCTCTCCCCAGTATTTTCCACTGGGAGAACAACTTGAGCGTGAAGCTGCATAGGTGTCTAACTTCACCTCTAAATGCACTAAGCCTTCTACTAAATCTGTACTTGCATCATACAGTCCAGAGAAACACACAGCACCTTCTTCTGGAAGCACCGTTAAGCTTGGTGGCGGGGTACCTAGGACTTCTAGGCATTGCTAGATCTTTAAGACTTCAAATGTTGCAACAGAAGTGTCTCTTGCTTCTTAAGTCCGTGCTACTGTAGTGTGCATTGATCACGCCTCTTTTGGTAGAATGGTCTCCCTCTCCATCTCCTTCAGCTCCTTCTCATCTCTTCCTTTTTTTTTTCTGGGATGGTAAAACTCCTGCTACAAGCAACTCTCTTCAGGTAATAAAAGAGAGTACCAACAAAAAAACACCACAACAACCAAAACAACTACACACAACCCCCCAACCAAAAAGGAAGGAAAATGGAAAAAGAAATGGTTACTCTGGGCACCTTAAAAATCAACCACATGATTGTGGTAGTATCTCATGTGATGAGTATCAAAAACAAAAACCATAAAAGAGCCTTTTTCTAGGTGCATATGTACACAGCAGGGAGGCATAAGCAGCACTTGCATCTAGTCTCTTCAACCATCTCTCCACAGCACCACACCAGGGCTCCACAGCAAGTCAAAAGCAGGCTTGTGTATATTCGGATGTCTTCACAATTCCACCTACAAAATTCTGGCACAATCGGAGCTCAATGAATTCAAAAGGCTGCCTGCTCTCCCCAAAACTCAGTTTTCATTCAAGATGACATAAACGAAGAGTATAAACCAATTGCTTGAGCAACTATAGAGAAGTACTTCTCTACCTCTTCAATCTCTGAATCTATATTATCAGTGCTTCTGGAAAGTAGCAGAACAAAAAAAGGTAGTTTGTCCTCACCTTCTGGTGATTTTAACACGACGGTTGAAGTGCAATATCTTTTTTTTTCTTCACCTCTTCACACTTGTGTATTTCCAAGTGAATAACGAGGCTGGTTGCATTCTGACAAGAGCATTTTTAAAAATTGGGAAAAATAACAAGAGCTTGTGGACAGAAAGGATGCTTTTTACCCCCTCTCTAAAGAGACACAAAGACTGACTAACAGTTACAAGCAAACATTTTTCCCTTCGAGACTTTTCCATCAACTCCATTAAACAGCGGCACAACAAATTTGAGACTCCTTTAAAGAAAACATTACAGAGGTACCATTGTTTCTTGCTGGTGGTGAGAAAAATGGCGCAACACAAAGTATTCTGTCCTTTACTTCCTCCATTAAAAACTCTCAAACAAATTCTTTTTTTTTTCTTTTTTTTAAAGTTATTTTTAATACACTCCCTTGCATTTTAAAATTACCAATAACTTCTTTGGGAGCAACTACACTTTCGTTGTACCAGTCAGTATTAAGTCAATAATATTACACCATCTGTTTTCATGGCTTGTGTTAAATACAGTACAAAGAAATCAAATTATGGCCAGCCACGTGCCTTTGGTAAAATTAAAAGTCTGGTGAGATCACATTTTTTTAAAACTCAGAAAGCCACATGTTGAACCCACGTAACGTTTTAAAGTTCAGTTCTATACAAACTCCTTTTCTTCCTCAAAGTAAAGTTAAACAGCTGTCACCCCACACAAATGGCAATTTCTGTGCTGCTCCAGAAGAACGATGAAAGTTTGGAACCTCAGGGGGATTCTCCTCATGCTTTGATCTCCATCAGATTTGTGTTTCAGACAAGGGGTAGAACGTCTAGTAAATATCCTCAAACCTACAAATCAAAGCAGTTGTGAGTTTTCCCCTTTTCACAATTAACAGTGATAAATATTCTTAGTTTTTAAAAAAAAAAAAAAACGTTCTGTAGTAACACATGCGGCTCATTTAAGCAACTGACGGTCTTCTCCTTTGAGGCGTTTTTTCCGGGGCTGCACAAAGTCATCATCCGAGTCATCAGTAAGTTCTGGATTATCTTTTTCACTCTGGCAGTTGGGTTGTACAGGAAACTTTCTGTCAGGATAAAGGTTCCTTAGAAGTTCTTCAAAGTACACTTCAAGCTTCATGCCAGCATCAGCCACTTCTGAATCAGGCTGTGGGGTGAATTAACAACATCAATGCATCACGAAATAGCTTTATACATAGATCACACTAAGTCTTTTAGGTGCTTTTACAAACTACAAGAAATAAAACAGCAATAAGAATGGCACCTGTGAAACACATGGTCCCAAAGAGCACAAGCCTGCAAAACAGAGGGCAAGGGTAGGTATTTTGGCCAACACACTCAGTGTCTTTTTTCTCTGATGGATTACCACAGAAGCCAATTGCTAAAGCCATACTGCTATATAAAGAGGTTCTAAAAACTCTTAAATCCTGACTGGAGGAAAAAAAAAAAAAAAAAAAAAAAGTTGGGTTATGCTGTGAAATAGCCTTCATGGTGCTAAAGTGTTTTAGAACGTCTGCTTGAAATGCTAGAATTTCTCTAGCTTACAGACCTTTTATAATTATGGTGACAATATTACTAGGATAGATGATCACTGTGACCTGGAAGACTAGGCAGCCCTAAACTCATCCACAGACACCACGGCTGATGAGTTTCTTGAAGCAGAGGTCACCACGGCAAGAAACATTTCCAGGTATCGAGGGTGACTGGATGAGAATCCCATCGAGGCCACTCAGAGGAGCCTTTATTCCCGTTGTAATTCTCTCTCATTTTGTGGTCCACTCAGTGCCTGCATCCCTTTTCCACTGCATGTTCCCTTCTGTGCAGTGAGGGATTAGTAACAGTCACTCAGCAGACAACTAGAAATCCTAAGGGTGACTACAGACCTCCCAGAATGTAAATCCAACTGAATTTAAGACTTGAGGCAAGGAGGATTAAACCAATTTTAAAACCAAATGCCCACCATTAATCTCTATGATATAAAAAATTATCTTATTTTTTTTTTACTTGTTGTCCTGCCAATCAGCTACCTTGTTTGTTACAATCCTCCTTCCTTCCATGGAAGGATCTCCACTGCATAGTCTTCTAACACCACAGTGGTTTCAAATGCGATCTATGTTTTCACTGCAGTCGCATCATCAAAATAAGTTTAATACAATAAATTCTTATGTTGTAAGTTCTACCCCCACTGCAGTTTTCCTGAAAGCAACTAAGCCTACAAAAATAGATAAAAGTATCTAACCTCGTTAAATTCAGCACAGTTTTGGAAAATCAGTCTGAAATCAGCCACAAAATCTTCCAGCTTTGTGTAGTATGAATTGTTCACTTCAAGTCTTTTCTTGATGGTTGACAAGTCCATAGGCTTTTTGATTATTTTGTAGTAATCAGGAACCTAAATGGAGAATAATTTTTTTTTACCAAATGCAGTCATGTTCATTACTTACTGTTTTACATCTTTAGCTCTGAGAGAGAGAAAGATTTAGTCTCATCTTCAAAGTATAATTCTAAGATATAAGAATTGTACTTCTAACAAATATGCAGATAGTTTCTGGAGTAACAGTGACATATGCTAGCTTTGCTGGCTAAAAAATACTCCTT